TATCCAACCACGTCCTCCCATACCCAGATGATATCGCTGCTGTTGGTGGGCACAAGTCCGATACGAATGGCCCTACTCTAGATCCGCATGTGTGGCAACCAAGACTCTGAAGGGAAAAGTAATTTTATAAATTCAAAACTATACTATGGAGTTTCACAACCCGTTTAACGTAAACTGGTATGAAACTCCGTGAAAAACGCGATATTCACACTACATAGTAGTCGTGAAATATGTTTTTCACTAGTCTTTTTCATATCACTAGGGTGGTGAAACTCCAATATATATAAGTATGCCGATTTTCATACTATGCAGATAGTCATGAAAAATGGTTTTCATATCGCAAACCCATCCATATGAAAACACTACTATAGAGTTTCACAACCCGTTTAACGTGAAGTGGCGTGATACTCTATGTGGAATTTCCGCGACCGATAAAACGAATGTTTTCCGAAATATATGTTTCTCACTACTGCTTTTAATATCACCGGTGAAACTCCCGTGTGATACCGCACTTTGATGAACTTCATATTTCGCACAACAAAAGTACCCCCCAACACATGTAGTTGACCATGTGCACCTTTCCTATACTGAAATATCAAACTTTTTTCATGAAAATTTTCAACATGATTAGACTTTCACAGGCGGCCCTAGTGATATGAACAACACTAGTGAGAAACATATTTCACGACTACTGCATATCACCGCGAATAATATCGCGTTTTACGCCACTTCACGTAAAACCAGTAAAACTCCAATAATATAAAAAATATATCCCCGCTGATACTCAGAAAGTATTTAATTTTTTCCCAATCTCTTCACAATTTTTCTCCAATTTTTTCCAATTTTTTTCCAATTTTCCCCCAATTTTACCCACTACCTTCCCCAAAGTAGTAGTAACATGTCGCACACTTCCTCGAGAGCTCCTCAAATTGCCCGGCAACGCTTCTTCCAACACAGGCCTCCAGAACGACCCTAATCTTGCAAATCTTGCAATCTTGCATTTTCTCAACGCACCACTACCTCTGTAAAGCACACTTGATGGCAGAACCGATCGCCACGTCCCACCGAGCATCGTGAACATCAAAACTGCTATCTAAAAGTATGATAACGACGATACTGGAGTTTCATCCGTGATAAAAAACACATTTCACTTCACCAAATTCATAAATACACAATTTACACCGCTAAATAAATGTTGTAAAACGCCGATTATTCGGAGTTTTTCGCGAAACGCCGCGACTGTTTTACGTGAAATGTGATGATTTTCACATGGAGTATTACGCCACTTCACGTAAAACGGGTCGTGAAACTCCAGTGTATTAAAAACAAGTATTAATATTGGTGAAAAATATTTTCGCTTTCCTCACTAACGGTGAAAATTTACGAATTTTGGTGCAAAAAAACAACAAAAATTTCCTCAGAATTTACATATCGTCACCAACACATGTGTTTCACCATCTGTCAAAAAAGTAGAGCAAGAGCGACGAAGCACTAAGATTAATTTTTAGTGCTAAATTTATTCTTTCATTATTTTTGTGCTCAAAATTAATTTCCAATACAGTTGATTTCACCCCAACTTTCAGATCGGCGCTTCAAAAAAACTTCGCCAAACCGTAACCATTTACGTACGAAATTTTCACCGACGCGAAAATTACCAAATTCATCTCTACTTATTTTCGTTGAACTCAAGCCCGACCGCGCACCACGAAATTCCACTTATAATCATTGTAATAAATTAAACCAGACCTGTTATAGTCGTCAACGTTTTACATTGCGTGAAAAACTCCGAACACATTTTCCTCAACGAGAAAAAATTTCCCCCCCTATTACAATTCCATCTCTCACAGTGGTAGACGTATTCCAATGGTCAAACTGTTCTGCCAACGATTCCCTATTATTACTACTTGCAAAGTAACTAAATAACAAATCACTTGATAACATTCCCAAATCGATCAACTTCTTCTCACTGTATCGTTTTCCCCACAAGAGCGCCACTGCCGAAAATTATGGAATACCCCGTTAACCTAAAAAATAAATTAACAAACAATTCACAAAAAAACTATAAAAAATAAAATCGATGATGATGTGCACTTCGTCACGAGATTTTCGGTGTAATTTTTCCTGATCGCGCGCCACAAAATTTTATATGTATCCCCTTACACGTTAGCTCGATTCTCGATAATCAACAATCAATACAGTCCGACCGCGCGCCACAAAATTATACGTAATTTTTTGAAAAACACATCTGTGCTTGCAAACTCTTTGGAAGGTCACGTTGAAATATTTCATTGACTGCTAGTCAGTGAGTGACCAAACTCACAATCGATTACCCGGGCGCGCGCGTAAGAGTCACCCATCAAAACATACGTGTAAAAAAGTGAAAACGACTGCATCTCTATACCTTTCTATTTTCCAAAAAGATGATAATTATCAAAAAACCAGACCGCGCGCCGCAAAATAATATATAATTTTTCCTGACCGCGCGCCGCGAAATCGCACCCACTCGTATCGTACCTCCCTGTTATCGGCATTTTCGAAGTAATAGTAGACAAATAAGCCGCAAGTTGGCCCGATCTACTGCCCAGCCAAAATGCAGTTCCTCCTACACCTGAAAATGTAAAAAAAATAATGAAATTGTCAATACCAAAATTTCGCCATTTTTTACTTAAATTTTCTCCCAATTTCCTGTCAATCATTAATATTTCAAAAAGGCAAAAAACAATGGAGTTTCACCACCCTAGTGATATGAAAAACACTATTTTACGACTACTACAGGCCGCGAGTATCATCGCGTTTTTCACCACTTCGCGTAAAACGGGTTATGAAACTCCAATGATAAATAAACCATCAAAAATTCCCAACTGATTTAAAACTAGCCAAATAGAATGCAGTGCCCCCAGACATTGAAATTCAAAAAATAATTATAAAATTATCAATACCAAAATTTTGTCCAAAACTTAACGACTTTCCATAAAAAAACACAGAATTTTATCAAAAAATTAACAATTTTCATAGAAAAATATTAAATTTTATCGAGAAAAATATCAACTTTCCAAAAAAAAATACGAAGAGTGTTGGAGGAACATATCTTCGCTTCCCTCAGGAGAGCTCAGGGGCTTACATACGATTTCGGTCAGAAGTGTACAAACCATATTTTTCTCAAATTTCCTCACAACTCCCATGTTGTCAGCAACACATGTAGTTGACCATGTGCATATTTTCCAACACCAGAAACCAAATTTTCCTGAATTTCACAAAAAAGCTGAAATTTTCTCGCAATACAAAAATTCAACAAAAAACTAAATGATGGAAAATTTCCAAAAACACCTTCCAAAGCCTACCTGCCGGTAATAGAAACGAGTCCCTCACAGGCGCCCAAAATTTCACATATGTCTTTTGCGCCGCCCTGGAGAAAAAAACCAACGATTTGTCAATTCACCGATAAGTGTGCCTCTCAGCATTTAAACAAAATATTGGAGTTTCACCCTAGTGATATGAAAACCATATTCCGCGGAAAAATTGTGTATTGGGGGGTCATTATTTCGCTCGCCTCGATATATCAGTAACCGTTCCGAACATGACCGTTTCGACTAAGCATGTAATGCATCATGCTAACAACCATATCATGTTGAAGTTTCAGCTCAAAACTCTTCTTCATTAACGAGAAACACATATTTTTCGAATTTGCCAAGGAAAAAATACGCTCCTTAGTGATATGAAAAACATATTTCGTGGAAAACAGTTGTGTTACGGAAACATATACGTCTTATAATTTACATCAAGTATTACACCACTTCACGTTAAACGCGTGAAACTCCAATGAACTAGGTCTACATCTTGATATCACAACAGTAAATTCACCAGTGTTAGAGGAATATATTTTCGCTTTCTTCAGCTGAGCTCAGAAGTTTTCATACAAATTCGGTTACAAATGCGCTCAAACCAACAAAAATTTCACCAAAAATTTCCTCACAATTTTAAACACAATGTGCATATTTTTCTCCCAGAGTGGTTTGATAACAAATACAGATTCACGAAAACAACAAAAACATTTGTTAAAAGTTTTTTTACTACTCAGCCAAGCCGGCGTTTTCCAATCCGTTTAATGCGAGTAACTTCAACCGCTCCATTTCCTCAGCAGCTTTGCCCATCTGAACTTGAAATTTCCCGGGGAAAAATTTCCTCTCTTCGGAATAAATATCCCACCTGTAATCGACCACATTCGCATACTTTCTCAATCGCATCAACAGACCGCGGAAATGGCTTTGAAGACTAATAAAAAATACAAATGCAACCATCCTGCTGAAATAACAATTTAGTTGTCATTTTTCAAAGACCTACAGTGCTAGAGAAATCTATGTTCGCTTTCCTCACTGGCTAAGCTCAGAAATTTTCTCACTAATTATAAAATTTTAAGATACGAACATAGAGAAACCAACAATAAACTCCCCAAAAAATTCATATCACCAACACATGTAGTTGACCATGTACAGCACAGCCTCCCATACTATGCAGCGAAATTATAATCATCAACTATGGTAAAATGTAACTACACATCAACCCTCAAATTTCAAGTCGCACACACGTCTACACAAACAGTAAAACGTATTTCATAATTCGCTTTTTTCACATAGAGTATCACGTCAGTTCACGTAAAACGATCGTATGCCCGTCCGGAAATTCTATAAAATTGGATAGTAGAGGAACTCCATTACCTCCGACATAACATCGCTGTTGTATATTTCCTTTCCATAACGCATCCCAGATTGTGCAGCATAGCCGAAGAGAAACGGCACCAGAAGAGAGCCCACAGGGGCTACTGCTGTTGTTACCGACATATTTTACACAAACACTTATAAACTGACAGTTGCATATATAAAACTATTCATCCACATCAGTTGAAGGCAGTCCTCTTGAAGAAAGAAAGAGTGTTAGATTATTATTCGCACTCTAGGGCGCATTCTAGTCTGTTCTCCGTATAAGAGCACGTTACCTAAGCTAGGCGGAAGATCGCGCTCCAAAAATTCCTAGTGCTACCTTCCGTGTCAACTTAAAACTACAATTTTCTAGCTCTAAATTTGATCAGTGTGGAACAACTGCCGACAATGATTCTGCCGTTAGATCCCGTACCACTATCGTTGGCACTATCGACTTACCAGAGGGCGCGCGCGAAACTTCTTTAGAAAAGAGGCCAATTCTTTAGAAATGAGGATTTACCCACTATCGTTGCCTGTGTCGTCCCGTTCGGGCGAGCGCGTTACAGACGAAACGCATGATGATGGGCTTCGTTGGAAAATACCAACTATCGTAACACCTACTATGTAATAAATATGAAAATGCCAATTGTTGTTGGTATTGTAGTATTTTCTGCCGATCATGTATCTGGTACTACTATCATAGCAGTGCTATCTTGGACTATTTACTCGACAGTTGTACGCAATCACTCGGCTAGCGAGAAAAGTTGCAGTAACAATGGGAGTGCCATGAGTGAAGGTAAGCATATTATTTATATATGTATAATATACCACTTAGCGTCCCCGCTAGATGTGGCTGGTAGCGGTGACGATAAGAACAGGAATGATAATAATAATATTATTATGCATGATAATATTGAAGATATTAATAAGAAATTTGATAATAATAAGTCGGGTAATACGTGGGTGACATAGGTTATTATAGTGATGACAACATTCTTTCAGTAGCTACGGATATTCACATTGGCTACCCTCGTTATGAATGTGTAATTTCTGATAATAGAAATAACATAGACAATAGTAACATAATACAGGTAAGGAATCTATGTTAATATCCTCTCCTGTCTTTAATTATACAGATCCTAATGCCGATGTTGTTGATGATGATGATGACATTGAAGTTATCAGCGTGAGGAAGGCGAGATCTTCACCACCTTCCCCAAGATGGCCACCCTCACCTTTACATTTCCCTTGCCCTCCAACTCCGGTTAATACCAATAAAACCTGGACTGGTAAAAATGGAGTAACCGCAATTAGCTAAGACTTCTCGTTCAGGAACGACAGCTTCGCCCAGCAACACCAAGGGATACATCGACGTTTACAACAACAACAATAAGCCGGCCGCCTGGGAAACTTGGGAAGTGACAAACCTCATTAATGGCATTCAGAAACACGGGACTAATTGGCAAAACATACTGCAAGATAAAAACCTGAGGTAAATATTTTCATCTCGTTATATCATGACATGTCCTGTAGGTTTAAGGAAGGTTGAACCTAGATGTCGCGGGGGGGCTTGCCTGACCTATCAGAACCCGACAGTATAGAAATAGTGCAGATTGGATGTTGAGAGATGTACGAATGTAAAATGAAACTGAGAGAGGCTTCACACTACAATGCGGAGCTTCATCGAAGTCGAAAGTGTACAGCTATCTTATAGTGAGAGGAGACATATGTATTTCAACTGAGAATTATGAGGGTTATGCTTGCAGAGGTGCAAAGGCAGATACTTACTTGATAAGCAACACAGTGCTATAGTAGGTAAATCTACTGAGTTTGAAGAATGTCTATCATAATAGATC